CTTCTCCTTCTCCTTCTCCTTCTCCTTCTCCTTCTCCTTCTCCTTCTCCTTCTCCTTCTCCTTCTCCTTCTCCTTCTCCTAGATCAGACTCGTAGTGATCTGCCTGTTTACAGCCTCCCAAGAGCTGGGATTACAGGTGCCACCACGCCCAGTCTCAATCATTGTTTCAGCATGCCCTAGGGGCAAGGCTGGCATGGCACATCTGGGGACGGACTCCTTAGTTTCTATAGAGTAGACTGTCAGTAGTGATATAGGAGAATAAAGGTAATAATTAAAATATTTTGCATTCAAGAAAAGAACTCAAGGAGTTGGGGGATATAGCTCAGTGGCATAATACCTGCTTGGCAAGCACAAGGTCATGAGTTTGATTCCCAGTACAAAAAATAAAAAAGGGAAAAGAACTCCAATAGAAGTATATCTCTTGTAAGCAGGCATTAGGTTGGGCAGTGCTGGTAATCTGGAGGAAATATAGGTACTTGTAATACATAAATGTAGAGCATCTTTGGGTGACCACTGGATTAACAGAAATACCACTGTGGAGAAAGGACAAAACAAATGGCAATAAAATGGGCATAGAAATATAACATAGGAAATAACATGCATTACATATCGCTATCCAGTGGGGATTACAATTAAGATTTCAAATAGGAAGTGTATTTTTATACCAAGGTCACTTTAAGCTGTAATGAGCTGGGAGCAGAGAACACAGGTACAGCAACTGGTGTTCTTAGCAGAAAAAATGAATAGGTTGGCAAAGCAAGGTATAAAAAGTCATTTCTGATTTAAGAACTAATTTTGAAAATTAGTGTTTTTCAGTATATACTTAAAGAAATTATTCTATAAAAAATGAAGAGATTAGGGCTCTTTAGATAGCTCAGTAGATTAAAGTACCTGCTTAGGTAGACACAGGGACTGGTTCAATATGGGCTTGCCATGCTAACCCAGCCCCTGGGGCTCCCTGAGACAGAGATTGAGACTGGGTGTAGTGTTGTGCACCTGTAATCCCAGTGCTTGGGAGGCTGAAAACAGGAGGATCATTGTGAGTCTGCTCTGTGTAGTGAGATCCATTTTTAAAAATACATTAAGGGGGCCTGGCCTTAGCTCAGTTGTTTAAGTGGCTGCTTCCACAAAGCTGTCAGCCTCAGGTTGCTGTAGTTCGATCCCCACAACACTCCAGCCAGCCAAACCACCCCTTAGGGCATTTAGAGCAAAAAAACAAAACAAAAACCTTATTCCATTTAAAAATACATTAAAAATGAAGAGATTTATTATATATATAATAAATATATTATATATATTCATGGGAATATTATAATATATAATAAATATTATATATATATATATTCAGGGGAATTTTAACTGAATGCTTCACTAGGAATAGAAAATAAATAGCTCACAGTCAAGAAAGAAGATGTGGATCAAGAATAACATTTGCAAAAAGAGATGTCTAGTGATTTCTAGTTAAACTAAAGATCATGTTATGTGATACTGCTTTTTGGATAGGTTAACAGGATGAATGGATTGTGGTGAAAATGTAACCGAGAAGCCAGTATTCTATTCCGTATTGCAATATGCTGAATTTGTGTTTTTGTTTTATGCTTAGCTTAATTTTGTAATAAATGTTTATAGATTCTCATTCCTGAACATGCTTGTATCTATTTCTGCCCTCTCTAACTTCCCTCCTGATATACAAATATAGATATCTTGGCTTCTTTGTGTGCTGGCCTTATGGTTGCACAACTGTTGACATGCTTGAGCTCTTTGCCAATGAGGTTATCTTGCATTGCTATATATTTTTTTATATTTTGCAAGTTATAGTATTCTATATATGTCTGTATATATGATAGAAAAATACAGTATAGCACAGATACTTGATTTGATAGCTTGTAGCATTTTTGTTAGTTATTCCCAGCCTTTTTCCTATGAAGTTTATACTGCCTTGCCTCACAACTGCACTGGCCATTGTGCTTTTGCTTGTCAATGGTATATATGCAAAAACTCTATGCACAGAGCTAAGAAAGTGCATTAAGAGCCCTCATGCAATTCTGTTTCTCCTTTGCCAAAAGGATAGCATATTCTAGAGAAAAAAGAGCTGCTCCCTTAGGCTAATGCCCAGTATAGAGACATGGAACAGAGCTAGGGTGTACTACTCCAGTTGTCTTGTATCATGAATGAGAAATAAGGTTTCTTACTATAAATCATGGGTATTTTCACATCATTTGTTAGTGTACCAAAACTTTGCCAAAGTTGGCTTGAACCTCTCAAGCCTGTCTGAAATTTCAGATATGATTTTGGTGCATAGAACAAATAGAATTAACTGATCAGTGTGTTTTACAGAATTGTGTATATATTTTACTTTTTGTCAGAGTACTTATAAACTTGCAAGCAGCAGAAAGAGCATATGTATAAAAATGCTTCATGAATCTTGGCAAACATTGGAATCAGAATTGAACTATGCAGTTTAGAATTTCTTTTCTTCTTTTTTTTTTTGGGAGGTTATGAGCAGAATATATTTATTGAGAGAAAGTAAGCTCCTGTCCCGAGAGAGAGAGGGACAGGAGGGGGGGCCCGAGTGGGTAGTTTCCCCTCCTAGAATTTCTATTGGTAAACACATGCAGGGAATTACAAGGTGGAAAATGTTTCCCAGAAAGGCAATCGACACCACGGCTGCTCATTCTGAAGTTTTAGTGTTACTCATTCCTGAACATTATGCTCATGAGACCATGATTCTGCTTGAAAAGAACAAATCAAGTATAAACAGAATTACCCATTTATGGTGAGTGGATAGAAGAAATAGACATAAATTATGTAAATGTATACCTTTTCCTTGAAGGGTAAAAATGGTGCCTTTGATAATTGCTAGCTTGCTCTTTTAAATTAGTCACCAAAATTAGCATTTCTATGACACATTAGATGACACATGCC